TGCTCTTGACTATGATGCTATCCTCACTGCCATGTATGCGTTGCCTACTAGTGCTGAGGGTGCCTGTTACCTGTGTGTGCCGCCTGACCCAGGTATAGAGTCAGCTGCTCTAGGTGCTGGTGAGGCTGCTGCTTTAGGTGCTGGTGCGTCTCCTGCTCCAGGTGCCGGTCAGGCTACTGCTCTAGGCGCTAGAGAGTCCACTCCTCCAGGTGCTGGTGAGTCTGCTCTCTCTGGTACTACGCCTGCTGCGGCCTTGCACACTTTCACCCTTGACTCGGGTGCTTCCCGCTCCTTCTTTCGCGACTGCACCACACTCTCGCCGCTCAGTCGGCCGGTGGCAGTCTCTCTGGCTGACCCCTCTAGGGGACCAGTTGTGGCCCGTTCCTCCACTGTTCTCCCGTGTCCTGCGGCTCCGTCCGGCTCGCTGTCTAGTCTTCACCTCCCCTCGTTCTCTACGAACTTGGTGGCGGGTGCTGATCTTCAGGATGGGGGTGTTCACCAGTTCACCCCTGCCTATCAGCGTGTGACGCACTGCATGTGTGCTCGGACGGGCCGTCACCTGGCCACGTTCACCCGTCGGCCAGGGTCCAGCCTGTACACCCTTACCACTGAGTCTCCTCCTGTCACTGCGACTGGTCAGGTAGCCGCGTCGGGTCAGGTGTTTGCTGCAGCGTCCCGGTCTGGCCCTGAGTCTGCCCCCTGCTCGTGTCGCCTCCTGTCTCACGAGACTCTCCTTTGGCACCACCGCCTTGGTCACCCCTCCCTGCCTCGTCTTCGAGGCATGGCCTCCCGTGTCCTTGTCTCAGGTCTTCCTGAGTCCCTCCCACCCCTTCCTCCGGGGCCTGCCCCTACCTGCGTTCCCTGCGTCGAGGGCCGGCAGCGCGCCGCTCCTCACTCCTCCGAGTTTCCTCCGACAGAGGCTCCCCTGCATACTCTTCACATGGACGTGTGGGGCCCAGCCCGCGTCCGTGGACAGGGTCATGAGCGTTACTTCCTGCTGGTTGTTGACGACTACTCGCGTTACACCACGGTCTTCCCCTTACGCCGCAAGGGTGAGGTCACTGAGGTGTTGATCGACTGGATCCGCGCTGCTCGTCTCCAGCTCAGAGAGAGTTTCGGCTCGGACTTTCCTGTTGTGCGTCTGCACTCAGACAGAGGTGGAGAGTTTTCCTCCGACCTTCTGCGAGCATTCTGTCGGGCGGAGGGCATCCGCCAGACGTGCACGCTTCCGGCCTCTCTACAGCAAAATGGGATTGCTGAGCGCCGCATTGGCATGGTCATGGATGTCGCTCGTACGTCCATGATCCATGCGGCTGCTCCCCATTTTCTGTGGCCGTTCGCAGTTCAGTACGCGGCGCATCAGATCAACCTCCAGCCCCGGGTCTCCATGCCGGAGACCACCCCCACTCTGCGGTGGACGGGGAAGGTTGGCGATGCGTCTGTGTTCCGTGTCTGGGGATCTCGAGCTTTCGTCCGCGACTTGTCTGCGGACAAGCTGTCCTCCCGTGCCGTTCCCTGCGTCTTCCTTGGCTTCCCCCCTGACGCGCCTGGTTGGCAGTTTTACCACCCCACCTCGCGTCGTGTTCTGTCCTCTCAGGACGTCACGTTTGACGAGTCGGTTCCTTACTACCGTCTCTTCCCCTACCGCACTGCCCCCCTCCCCCCCCCGCCGCTCTTCCTCGCGCCAGGTACTCCTCCGGTAGACCCCCTCCCCCCTCAGGGTCCTGCCCCCTCAGGTGTGTCTCAGGTAGACGCAGTCGAGCCTGTTGAGGTAGCTGTTGACTCTGGTGCTGCTAGGGGTGCTGAGCCTGAGGGTGCCGGGTCTGGGGGTGCTGAGCCTGGGGGTGCTGAGCCTGGGGTTGCTGAGTCTGGGGGTGCTGAGCCTGGGGGTGCTGAGCCTGGGGTTGCTGAGTCTGGGGGTGCTGAGACTGGAGGTCCTCCGAGTGTCCCGTCGCGGCGGGAGCCCCTCTCTCCACGGCAGCTTCGTGAGTGGTACGCTCGGCGCTGTAGCCGTGCTGCTGGAGCTGGGGGCCCTACTGCTGGAGGTGCTGCTGGTGCTAGAGCTGCTGGAGGTGCTGCTGGTGCTGGAGCTGCTGGAGGTGCTACTGGTGCTGGAGCTGCTGGTGGTGCTGCTGGAGGTGCTGCTGGTGCTGGAGCTGCTGGAGCCGCTGGTCCTGGAGGTGCTCGTACTGGAGGTACTGGAGCTACTGGGACTGGAGCTGCTGCGGGAGTTGGAGCTGGATGTGCTGGAGTTGCTGGAGCTGCTGGTGGTGCTGCGGGAGTTGTAGCTGGAGACCTGGAGCTGAGGGTGCTGGTGCTGTCTCTGCTGGTTCATGAGGTGCTGCGCGGCCGCGGCCGTACTACGTTCCGCTCCTTCAGCAGGTTCTTGGCCTCTCGCTCTCTACTGGTCCTCCTCCTCCCCTACTGAGTCCACCGCCTGTCCAGTCGCAGTCACAGTTACAGCCAGCCTCTCCACTACCTAGTCCTTCTCCTTACTCTGGGCCGACTAGAGGTCTTACGGAGCGTCGTGAGCCTGAGTCTCGTCCTGCGTCGCCTGAGTCTCGTCCAGAGTCGCCTGTCCGCGCTGTCCGCACTAGTCGTCGTGTTCCGCGTGAGCGTCCTCCTCCTGTCCCTGGCACTCACTATATGATTCTGCGTCCTTCCACTGCTCCACAGCGTGTCCCTCTGCCGTCTCCTCCTGCGTCCTCTCTTCCTGACGGTCCGGACCCGGAGTCTGACTCTCTTTGTGCTGCCAGTCCTACTGTCACGCGTTTCCTCGCTACTGTTGTCACTGACCCTTCCTTTGAGTCCACTGCTGCGTCTTCTCTAGTTGCTGAGCTTGTTGACTTTGCTGCCGCCTGTCGTCTAGACTACGCCGCTAGCCTTGTTGCTGAGTCTGAGTCTGTCTGTCCTCCGTCCGTCGGGGGTGAGTGTGCTCTTGGCACGGACGTCCTTGAGGACAGACAGGAGGAGTTTGAGTGCTTTGCCGCTGCTTTACCTCATCTCGTGTCCATGCTGATTGCCCCTGAGGGAGACCCAGATGCACCAGACATCCCGACCCCGCGCTCTTACGCAGAGGCGATAGAGGGTCCCTACTCCTCTCAGTGGCAGGCAGCCATGGACGCAGAGATGGCTTCCTGGAAGTCCACAGGCACCTACGTCGACGAGGTTCCCCCGCCTGGGGCGAACATCGTCAGTGGCATGTGGATTTTCAGGGTGAAGCGGCCGCCGGGTTCTCCGCCTGTCTTCAAGGCGCGTTACGTTGCACGAGGCTTCAGTCAGCGTGAGGGAGTTGACTTCTTCCAGACCTTCTCCCCTACCCCGAAGATGACCACTCTTCGGGTTCTGCTGCACGTCGCCGCTCAGCGTGACTACGAGCTCCACTCTCTTGACTTCAGCACTGCTTTCCTACAGGGCAGCCTGCACGAGGAGATCTGGCTGCGCCGCCCACCTGGCTTCACTGGGTCGTTTCCTCCTGGTACCCAATGGAGCCTCCGGCGGCCAGTCTACGGTCTCCGCCAGGCACCCCGTGAGTGGCACGACACACTGAGGACGACTCTTGTTGCTCTTGGGTTTGCTCCTTCTACTGCTGACCCGTCGATGTTTCTACGCACCGACACCACTCTGCCGCCGTTCTACGTTCTCGTGTACGTAGACGACTTGGTCTTTGCCACTGCTGATGCTGAGGCACTCGCCCACGTGAAGTCGGAACTGCAGAAGAGACACACGTGCACAGACCTGGGTGAGCTGACAAGCTATCTTGGCTTGCGGATCACCCGGGACAGAGCACAGCGCACCATTACCTTGACTCAGTCACACATGGTGCAGCAGGTCCTTCAGCGCTTCCGCTTCACGTACTCCTCGCCACAGTCCACTCCTCTGCCTACCGGTCACTCGCTCTCAGCTCCACCTTCGGACGAGTCCGTAGAGCCGAGTGGCCCGTATCCAGAGCTTGTGGGCTGCCTCATGTACCTGATGACCTGCACTCGACCTGACCTAGCCTACCCTCTTATCATCCTAGCACGCTATGTCGCTCCTTGGCCGACACAGGAAGGAGCACATGGATGCTGCTAAGAGGGTGTTGCGCTACTTGTGCAGTACGTCGGGCATGGGGCTCGTGCTTGGAGGGCGAGGTCCAGTTGTCCTCACTGGTCACGCAGACGCTTCTTGGGCTGACGACTTGACTACGCAGCGGTCGTCACAGGGCTACACCTTCAGCCTTGGCTCCGGTTCTGTTTCTTGGCGGTCTACCCGCTCGTCTTCTGTTCTCAGCTCCAGTTGTGAGGCTGAGATCTACGCAGGGGCCATGGCTGCTCAGGAGTTACGCTGGCTTACCTACCTGCTGACCGACCTTGGAGAGCCGCCTCGTTCTCCTCCAGTGCTGTACGTCGACAACAAGGCCATGATTGCCTTGTGTCAAGAACACAGACTGGAGCACAGAACGAAGCACATCGCTCTGCGCTACTTCCTTGCTCGAGAGTTGCAGCAGCGTGGTCAGCTTCGTCTTGCTTACATGGCCACTCGGGCCAACACTGCTGATGTGTTCACCAAGGCGCTTCAACCTTGTGATCATCAGCGTTTCTGTACTGTTCTAGGCCTTGTGCCTACTGTGCCTCACTTGCATACTTCTTGACTCTGCTTGTACTGTGATCCTTATATATGTCTTCCTGCATGTTTACACTTGCTAGGTTGTGATCACCGTACTTCTTGTTGTATTATCAAACTGCATGTGAACTGGTCTGGTGACCGCTTGCTTGTGCTCGGAATTTGTGTGGTATCCTTGAGATCCACCCTGAGCTTGCTTTGCTTTTCTGGACTGGTCTTGTGACCTTCTGTTCTCCCCCACTTTGCCTATGGGGGTGTGTCAAACATATGTTATAGCCTGTTTAGGCTGTAGTGGGTTAGACAATAGGGGGTACAGCATTTCTAGGGTTTCCCTATATGTACCCATCTCCTTTCTAGTTCATCCACTCCTCGTTCTTATTCTCACACGGCCATCGTCACCGGCTGATCGTACACCCACTCCCCACCGCGGCCGCGCCCCCCCCCCCCCCCCCAGCCGCCGCGACCGCCACGATGGCAGGCCAGTTTGCCTGCGAACGCTGACGCCGAGGAGAATCGCGCCGGCGACGAGTTGACTCCCGCTCCTCGCGGGGCGCAGGAGAATGAGGCTGGCCCCCACGGCGGTCCGGGGACGGGGGACGACGCTGCTGCGAGGTCGCAGCCACTGTCTGAACCCCTGGCGCCGAGTGAACAGTCTCCCCAGATCCCGCAACCGGGGCCGGGCCGCCAGTGGTGGCGGACGCCGCCAGCGGTGACGAACCACCAGCAAGGATCGGCTCCGCGGGAACAGGGGCAGCAGACGGCGCAGCCGGGACGGCGGGGTCAACAGACGCGGCAACAGGCAGGGGGAGGTCAGGGGCAGACCCAGGGGCCAGTGGGATAGGCACGGAGCACGCAAGCTCCTGGGCAAGCACCGGATGCTTCGCCCCAGCAGGCGAATCCGCAGCAGGCGCCGCCGGTCGAACAGCAGGAGCAGCAGGAGCAGACGACGGCGGTGCAGGAACACACGACATCTCCGCGGAGGTCACAACAGAGGCAGATGAGGCCGACCACGCACGCGCAGCAAACGCCCCGTCAAAGGGCGGGGGTGGGTACGAGAATTCGTCCCCGAGCGCCGCAGGCATCACGAGGCAGAGGCAGCGCGGGGCAGCGGAGTGGTGGAAGACGAGGAGGCAGAGCCGGCAGGGGGAACACGCGACGAACGGGCGCAAGCGCTTATGCCAGGGCTGCAGAGAGGATTCTACAGGGGGCCGCAGGGGGCGGCGAGGAAGCTGCTAGCGACGAGGAGGTAGAGGAAAACGAGAATGTTGAAAGTGACGCGGGTGACCCCGAATTTAACCCTGAAAGAGAGGGGGTGTTGGACGAAGAGTCTGAGGAGGAGGGAAGAGCTCCTCCACCGTGGAGCGGAATTTCCCAACCAAAACATTCGAGGCGCTGCTGCAGGTGGACGAAACACATTTCAAAACCGAGCCGCGGGGGGAAATCCAACATTGGGGGGAACTCGAGTCGCGGCGAGAGGCGAAGTCAACTCGGTCGCGGCCAACAATAATCCAGCAGCAACAACTCCCGCGCCGCCCATGCTCAAGCCTGACGACCTGGCGAAACGAACCGACCTGTTCGCTCAGGTCGCAGGCTGGGAATTGGACCCACTCCGCGACAGTCGCCAACCGCCACTCGCCCGCCACCCACCGAAGGACCTTCGCGAGTCCTTCGCAGTGTGCTTACTGACCCCCCTGCTCCACCTGGCAGCCAATCCCGAGTCAGCAGCGGGGTGGAAGTTACTGACATTCCTCCTGCGAATTCTACTGCGCACATCGTCAGCACGGAAACCAGACTGGTGCGCGATGATGAATCGCCTCGTCCAGTTTCGCCAAGGGCTCTGGAGGCGGTCGAGGCCATCTCCCTCCCACCCCAACCTCGCCACGCACCTGACACCACGGGAATCCTCGCCAGAGCTGAGGGACTGGCGAAACGTGGTAACCTGGCGAAATCACTACAGTCCCTCCAGGCTACACCTGTCTCGCCCGCCTCACCCGAAGTGCTAGATGCACTCAAGGCGAGGCACCCCCCAGCCCAGCAGGACCTCCCAGACTGGGTGCAAACATTCCACACCAAAAACTCCCCCGCTATCGAAGCCAAGGACTTCAGCCGAATCATCGCGAAGCTGCCAAACGGAGTAGGAGCAGGGCCCTCGGGAACCACCTTCGAGCAACTAAGAGACGCGGCCGTAGGCAACCAAGAGGTTTTTACTCACCTGTTAGCCCTCACCAACACGGCTCTAGCAGGGAAACTGGCCGGATGCGCGGCTGAGCTCCTTACTGCCTCCCGCCTCTTAGCATTCACTAAACCGCAGGGCGGGACGAGGCCGATAGCGGTAGGCGAGTGCTTGCTACGAATCATCACGAAGGCGGCCCTCTTCCTGACATCGCCGGTCGCTAGAAAGCACTTTGCCCCCCTCCAGTTTGGGGTGACGATAGCTGGGGGCATCGAGGCCGCTATACACACGGCGCGCACATACTTAGAACAGCGACCAGACACGGCGGCGCTGCAGATAGACCTCGCCAACGCCTTTAACGCTGTAGAAAGAGGGGCGGTGTTCGAAGGCCTCAGAAACGAAACGCTGGAAGCCCTTATCCCGCTCGTCCGCCTCTCCTACGGGGCCCCGTCATCCCTCTTCCTTGACGCCGACTATGGCGCGGCCCCCCTACAGAGCGCCAGGGGAGTCCGCCAAGGGGACCCGCTTGGTCCTCTGCTATTCGCGGCTAGCATTCAGCCGTGCCTCGCGGCCACCGCAGCAGCACACCCACAGGTGGTCCTACTCGCCTACGCCGACGACATCACCATGCTCGGTGATGCCCCATCCTGCACCGCCGCCTTCAACCACCTCACCTCAGCACTCGCCACCATCGGCCTGGTTCACAATCCCGCCAAGTGCGCCGCTTGGTCCGCCTCGCAGATCGACCCCACCTCCATGCCGCCGGGCATCCCCATCTCAGGCGAAGGGCTCCAGATTTTGGGAAGCCCCGTCGGCACTCCCCTGGGGTGCGCTAGTACGGTTAGGGAGCGGCTTGCGGCAGCAGCGGTACCACTACCCCAGCCCAGATGGACCCCCAGCTCTGCCTCCTTCTCCTCACTCGCTGCGTCGGCCGCCGCGCCTCTTTCCTCGCCAGAACAACCCCACTGGAGGTGCTGCCCGAGGCGGAATGGTCGGCATGGGGGGAGCAGCTGCTACTGTCGTTCCTCAATGCGGCGCACATTGTAACACCGCGGAGTGACGTGGAGAGGAGACGAATCTGGCGGCAAGCGGCGCTTCCTGTAACCCTTGGAGGACTGGGCATCACGGACCCCGCCGTCGAGGGGGGATACGCCTACCTCGCGTCGGTGATCGCCACCTCCCACCTCCTGCACTCCCTGGGCGATACATTACACCCCGCCATAGCCGCCCTACTCCCCCTCCTGGACCCCATCCCCGGCTCCGCCCACGCCCTCCCAGCCTGTCTAGCAGCAGCAGAAGCAGCCCTCCCACCAGAAGCACTAGAAGCCCTACAGGCGGGGAAAGAAGACCCCAAAGGCCTCAAGCTGCAGCAGTCCCTCGCACTGGCAGTCCACACCCGCCGCTTCCACAGGGTCATGAACGAGGCGAGACGAATGCGCCCCAACCCCCTCTCTGGCCATGCCCAGCGGATGCAGTCGGTGCTGGGCCCGGGTGCAGGGGACTGGTTGCTGGCGGTGCCCCTCATCTCCTCGCTCAGGATGGGACCCTCACAGCTCTCTACCGCAGCTGCCTTCCGCCTAGGCCTCCCCCTACCCGTTCCTAGGCGCTGCGACTGCCGATACCGCACCACGTTTCCTGACGACCGCCTCCCCAACCACCTCATGCGCTGCGAGAAAGGGAAGGGGAGGATAGCTACTCACCACGCACTCCGGGATGAGATAGCCAGGATAGGGGCAGAGGCGGGCTTCACGGTGCACAAGGAGACCTACATCTACTCTCTTGTTGAGAACCTAAAGGTGGATGTCACCATCCGTCATCCCCTGACAGGAGAAGTTTGGATGTGTGACGTGACTGTGACTGACCCCGTGTCCCACCAGGACGAGAACTGCAACCGAGCTCCTGGATGGGCGGCTAGGGCGGCAGCAGATAGGAAGGAGGAGAAGTACGCACGCCGGAACGCGTGGGTGGGCTTCCACGCCCTTGCAGTTGAGACCTACGGCTACCCCTCCCCAGGAGTGATGGCCTACCTACGGCAGTGTGCAGAGCTGGCGGCCAAGCTGCACTTCAATGCAGCCCCTACCTCCTACGAGGCCGCCAAGCTGCTGACTGAGTACCGCCAGCGCTGGAGTGTGTGCCTCCAACGGGCACAAGCAAATGCCCTCCGCTCCAAGACCAACGAGGCCCTGGCGGCGGACGAGCTAGGCATGCAGGGACCCCTAATCCCCCTTAGCGAGGGGCAGTTGCACCAGCTGATTGAGCCCCCTTTCGGCCAGTAGGGCCGGACAGAGGGGGGATGGGAGATAGTAGGTGAACTGTTAGTTGTTAGGATGCCTGGTTGTTTGCTTGTTTGTATGTTGTTGCATGTTTCTGCATCTATCTTTGTAACACCCAAGTTATTAATGCAAGGCCCATTCGAGAGAGAGAGAGAGAGAGAGAGAGAGAGAGAGAGAGAGAGAGAGAGAGAGAGAGAGAGAGAGAGAGAGGGAGAGAGAGAGAGAGAGGGCATGGACAGCCGCATCCAACCGTGTGTGGACCGTGGGGCGAGCCGGTCGGTGCTCGGCACACTCGTTGACATAGCAATTAATTGTCAATTCTGTCCACACCGTTTACAAGTGATCTCGAGCACGTGCACACATGCAACACACGTATGTTTTAAATCAAAAGTGCAACCCTTGTCCCATGCCACGAACACACAAGAGCGTGGCAATACGAGGCGGCATGCGGCGACGATATGTACGCATTTGCCATTACGGACAAAACCGTTACACATATGCGCGGCCGGCTTCACGCGACCTTTGAATGGTGGAGCTCATGGTGCTCGAGTAGCCTTGTCCTCTCCGTCATAGCCAAAGGCTATTGGTTGCCATGGAGCCACGGCCCACCGCAACCCTTCCACGATCGCAACCATGTCGGGGCGAACACGCATGCCACGTTCACACGTACTGCCATACAAGAACTCACAGAGACCGGAGCGGCAGTTCCGATGGCCGCAAAGGAGCTTACTTGCATAAGTCCGCTCAACGTGGTCGAGCAAAAAGACAAATGCAGGCTCATTCTTGATCTGAGGAAAGTCAACGCTCACTTAATTGTCCCCAAGTTCAAGTACGAGGGGCTTAACCGGGTGGCCGACCTGGCACGCGCTGGGGACCGGATGTTCTCCATCGAGCTTAAATCCGGTTATCACCACATCGACATCCACCCCTCGTGCTGGAAGTTCCTTGGATTCGAATTTGGTGGACGCACATACGCATTTCGTTTCCTGCCATTCGGACTCGCCACAGCTCCATTCGTCTTCACGCAACTCATCAAGCAACTTGCCTGGCGTTGGCGAGAACAGGGCATCTGAGTAGTGCCATACGTGGATGACATTTTATTTCTCTGCCAGTCAAAGGCCCATGCGCAAGCTACCTGTCAGCGCGTAATATTGAACCTCAAAGCAGCGGGGCTGGTGATAAACGCGAAGAAATCGCAGCTCTCACCATCGCAACACCTTCGATTTTTGGGTGTAGAGTTGGACACCGACACCGGCCGATTCTCCATCGGTCCCGACCGACAAGCCGCGCTACATGCAACCATCCAGAACCTCCTAAGTGCAAGCAAGGCATGCAGGCCAGTCCCCGTCCGTCACGTGGCCAGAATCACAGTCATGCTCGCCTCAATGAGTGTCGCACTAGGCGCGACAGCTCGCGCATTCAGCCACGCCATGTTACAAGTGATCAACGACGCGCCGTCATGGAAAAGCAGTGTGATCGTCTCCCCATCTGCAGCTGAGGAGCTCCACTTCTGGCGCGAAGAGTTTGATCGGTTTAACGGTGCACCATTTCACGTCCGAAACAGCTACGACGCTGCAATCCATGTAGACGCCAGCTCTCACGGTTGGGGCGCCACCCTGACCACGTTTCCGGGTGGCCTCGAAGAAGCCAGTGCAACCATGCCAGAGCCGCTACGAGCAACGTCCAGCACGAGACGGGAGACTGAAGGCGTCTTTTGGGCAATCCAAACGTATGCCAACAAGATCCAGAAAAAAACACGTTCTCGTGCGGGTGGACAACCAAGGTGTATTCTTCATCCTTCGCAAAGGCGGCTCTCGCAGCCCCGACCTCACCATGGCATGCAAGGGCATCATACGAACATGCATGGAGCTCGGCACACGCTTGATCATCGAATGGATTCCGCGCGAACTCAACTCACACGCTGACGAGCTTTCCAAAATAGTCGATCACGACGACTAGTCGTTGAAGACGCCATGGTTCCGCCTCTTAGAACGTCGTTGGGGTCCCCATTCCATCGACCTTTTTGCAAACTCCCGCAACACCCAGCTATCGCGCTTCTGCACAAAGATCCCTCACCCCGACGCCTTCGCA